GTCGTAGCTATTTGTCTATAATTATTGAACACCGGCAATGTCCTGATGTTTGGACCTTGTTGGGCACACATATGTACCTAAACAATTGCCTTGAAGCTCCCTCGTACATCTACGCATCGCAGGCCTGGATCCCGTCCCTATTTTTGCGATGATTCCAAACGTACGACTTACATGTGTGTGACCCAGGCGGGAGCGGGAGGAGGGGGAGGGGGAGAGGGGCAGCTCAAAGATGTTTTCTGAAAGCCGAGTTTAGTACGTCGCAGGCGCGAATAATTTATGGCGTACCTTAAAATAACGCCGCGTGATCCCGATCTAATTTGTACTTGTCCACCTGGAACTTGTAAATGTTAACACCCAGTCACGAAGTATAAATGGACGTCATAAACTTGGTAAAGGGGGACACGCTCCTCGTGGCCTGTATGAATTTACTTCATTGTCTCTGTGCACTGTCAGTGATGCTTGCTTCTAGCAGCTCATGAGGCTAAAATCATTCCTTCGCCGCCAAGTCTGTCGTGACAAAAATAAGCGTCTATTTCATCACTCACTGGGGGCGCATGCTGATAGGCCATGAAACATCTCCGGAGCACTTTCAAAGCCATGCAGTGGGCTTTGTGCAACTGTGTGACTGGGAACACTCGACTTTGCGAAACTGGTAATGCTGGAATGCACGCTTAATAAAACCAGCCCGACTTTCTACAATTCAGCGTGCTAAGGAATCCGTGTAAAGTTCAAACGCAGGACTGTAATCGGTTATTGGTTGGTTGCCACTGCCTCTTTTGAACGCCGGAAATTTCAGGCCAGTCACGTTGTCCCTACATGGCTTAATAAGACATGAGCTACATTTGAGAGCCAGGAGTTCAAACTTTGCCGCGCTAAATTGTAGGACGTTACCCGTGATAGTGAAGGTGATTCCCCAGAGAAACAAAAGCGGACTTCATGCGAGTGATGGGAGCATGCCGGACTAATTTTTATTCCGATACCAAGACCTAATTTTCATCAGCGTATCGCGCTACATACGGACGAAGACACAGTTTATTTGCAAACGGGGAAAAAAATATTGTCTGTGGGGCCGGGAGAGTAGCCGTGGAAAGGCTCCGCTTTATGCAAGCGGAGAAAGGCTTTGACCATGCCAAAAGAGTAAGTGAAGTAAAAGATCACAGAGCAACCATTCAGGTAGCCTCGAATCCAGGGTATATTCATGTCTAGAGCTTGCAGCTAGTCTAGCAGTGTACTGTAATTAGTGTCACCGAAAGAGTTGAAGGAAATAAAAAAACAGCGCAATTTCGAAGTAGTCATAAGCCACCTGTAACTGCATGTAGTCAGCGAAACAGGTGAAAGCCGTCCCCGCAGACGACGTGGGCAAAGCCCATGCTGGGTTTAGGCAAGATGTTAGAGGATGGTACAGGTTAAACTGACGTTGAAGCGTCCACTCTCCTGTTTTAGCGACGACCAGAAACACAAAAACAGCAACACAATTTTGCAAGTCATAAGCTACCTATATCTACATGCGGTCAGCGACATAGGTGAGAGCCGCCCCCGCAGAGGACGTGGGCAAAACCCGTGCTGGGCTTAGGCAAGATGTTAGAGGATGGTACAAGTTAAACTGAGGTTGAAGCGTCGACTGTTCTGTTTTAGCGGCGACCAGAAACACTTAAATATAAGACGGATGATGGACAAATGGTCAGACCACCAGATTTCCTGATTGCAGGAGCATATTGTTTTCACGATTCAGGGATTTCGTTGGGTATTACTCACGAGTTGATGAGGTAGAGCAGAATAAGACGAAAGGAGCTAAAGGCGAGTTTGATTATTCGGTTACAAAGTCCGTTTACACCGCGAGCAGGAGAGTTGCAATACTAAAGATGGTTTTGCGCAGTGTCTATAAGCTGATCAGATGGACCGAGGGAGCATGCGTCCTTCATGCATCCTGGTGGCAGATGGGGTGGAGCGTGGCGCACACCTTGAGTTTCCAGCTCCGATGCCATTTTCGGTCCGACTTCCGCGATACTGTGGGCACGTTCGTCGGTCGATATAGGTGGCAGCACGTGTTAAAGCCCCTTTGCTCCACTGCGTGCCTAGTAATCTTCTAGGCGCCTCTTGCTTGTTTGCCTCTAACCAAGAATGCACATCTGGATGCGCCTCCTGCTGTCAGCTGGAAAAACTGCGCGTGCCTGGCGGTTGATTGTAAAATAATGATCTGAGCCTTGCGCCGACACCCTCACACCTTTGCTGGCGGAATGATAAAAAACTTTGGTTTCGTCACATCTTGATGGAGTTATTGGACTGTGCACAGTGATAATGGGGACGCTAACGTATTGAGTCGTGTCTCTACATGGCAACGGGCGATGTGTGTCGTGGCATGAGCAAACACGAACCATGTATTAGAGACACTTGATGCAAAGAAGAAATAGGAGATCAATTCGATTAATTACCAGAGGCACGGTTTCGAGACCTGACTGACCAAACCGCCTGAAGAATTGGCACGTGGGAAAATGCGGTTAAAACCAGAGCTTGTCATTGAAAACAAAATGACGCGAACAATACAACGATGGCTAAAATGACAGCATCTGTTACCAAGGCGATTAAAAAACACGGTTCGTTGAGCTCGTCCGCGTGAATGTCGCTAGGCAGCTGAGCTCCGTCCTTCAAGTCGAAGCTACGATCCCAAGCAACGGCCAGCAGTAGCCGAACTTCTTCACCAAAGTGGGCTAGATCATTTCTCCTGCAAATATCTGCTCCTCCACGCATCCCTCAATCCTCAACAGCACCCCACACCCACCCACCTGCATGGACATGTCACCCGAGGCCCCATTCCCGCGGTGGCTGGATGACTACGTATGCGATAGCGTCCGAAGGTGGTGTTCTCATTTAAGGAACCTCCTAATAGACAGAGAGGTGCCAAGAGATGGCCATCGAGAGACTTCTTGATGTTCTTGGCCCCGAAGTATCTAGGGGCTCAAGAGGTCAAGGGCACTCGAGGTCGTCAAGCGGAGACAGCCAAGGGGCTAAGAGGCAGCTTAGGCAGACCAGTAGGATGGGTCAAGGCTGGGTTTGAGACAGTCGGGAGTACCTGAATGGGTTCCTGAGAAAAGAAAGCACCCCAGAACATGTTTCGGGCTTCGGAACGGATAAAAGAGCTAGAAGCAGGATAGATCAGGAGCAAACGCATACCCCTGCCTGCGAGGAGAGGTGGATGAATCCATAAAGACGGTATAGCAGGTGGTAGGGCCGTTAACAGAGCCTTGCAATTGGGAGGAGTGGGCACAACAGGAAATATTTCCTGAAAACCCCAATTTGGTGCACCGCGGAAGCACAGGAGTTTTTCCATGGAGTATTAAAACACCGCATGCTTTCATCCAGCTTGTTTTGGTCCGTCTAACTCGACCTTTTACTTGCTAACATCTGTTCGCATGCACGTTAATACATGGGCGCCTTATGACCAGTGCGATCGGTGCGCCCTCAAACACAAATCATCATCATATAAACTCACGCAAAAATGTGGTGAGGGGGAGACGCACCCCGGTGCCTTCCTTGAATATGCCCTGCCGGATGGTTAGGAACGGCCAGGGTCCTGGTCCGGGTACGTGTTGGCAGGGTCGCAGACAGGGGAGGGGACCGACGGACCGGGCCCCCATTCTCCATCACGAATGGCCTGCAGGAAGTTATCAATCATTGTGATGTGTACTCACTGTTCCACCCCCCTTAAAAATTCTGGCTTTGCCCTTAGTTGTTGTGTTGGGCAAAGAACATACGGCCCGAGAAAGCTTATCATCTAATCTCTAGTCTTTGAGCAATGAAAAGATGGAACTTCGAGACGACTAGGTCACACGGCCCTATCCTCCGTAGGTCAGCGCCTGAGGCCATTGAGTTCACTAGTAAAAGAAGGTCATTACGGGTAAGCCACGTGGTCCTAATGCCGAGCGAAATGATGTGGCGAGAATTTCCCAAGCAGCGCAGCGTTGCGTGGAAAGCGTCAGAGGGACCCAAGACTAGTCCCAGTTTGGCGCAGGGGTCTGAGACAATCCCAGTTGGGCGCAGGGGTCTGAGACAATCAAGAGACTGCTCAGATGGTGAGACTCCTTGAGAGGTCACGCGTCACCACACGATTTTGTATTCCGTGAGAATCTTTAAAAAATTTAAAAAATTTCCGCCTTTGGTCACAATAGCGATGTTCCAAATACTGATTAAGGGTTTGCTGAGACGTCAATAAGGTGAACCAGTACGCGCAGGATTTTCTGGAAGTGACATCAACATTAGACACCAGGAACCAGGGGCGTCAAATTGTAAATGGTTGGGGAAGCGAGCTGATGGCCCGCAGAAGCTGATTGCCGCCCCTCTAATTAGTCCACTTTACAGTCACGAACGTGAACTTGTTTTGGTGATTTTTGTTATCAATTGACGAATAGTCCTTAATTTGGGTGACGTAATGGTCATGACCAGGGGCACAGCCAAAGTCTCTCCCCTCCCCTCTAGACTGCATTCTGTTTGCCATGGATGGCTTACGACAGAAAGTTAAGGTATGCATGATCCTCATGATGGCTTGAGAAGCCGACGCGCTCCATAATGTCAACCTGCAGCTCAGCAGGTTGGAATGTTGCCGGCGGCAAAGCTCGAACCCACAACCTCAGTTCTCTCGCGACGGCTTACTTCGGTGATTCCTTAAAAATAGCTGAGACCTCTGTGCCACTAGTAATTACTGCAGAATACATACCTAGTGAGAAAAAAAAACATGGACAGTGCTGAATCGTCCCTGTGGATTTGGGCCTCAACCCAAGCTGTTGTCGGTTCGGTAGGGCCTCCCCCGCCACGCATCGAGTTGGACTCGTGTACACGATCTCCCCTACTTTGATGAATGGGATCGTCCATTTTCGGTGTGCGAATCGATTCAGCTGGGCCGCGTCGGCGGGAACTGGAAGAGAAAAAGACTGGGTGACGGCTCCCGGGTACGGTGGGGTGACGGTTACGTGCGGTGGTCCTTCGGGGCCTGAAACAATCGGAAAACAGTGATGTGTGGCGTAGACATTGGCGTGAACATGAACGGCCCGCTGGAGCAGGGTTGAGTCCTAAGAGACGGCAGCAGGCGGGAGTAGTGGCAGCACATCAACAGCGTGGACACCAACTGGGATGCCTACTGCTGGTTGGTATGAACCGTGATTAACAACCACAGTGGCTTGAAGCATGATAAGCCGCCTGTATCTTCTGTACTATAAGCGCCAGTTTGCTTACTTCTTGAACTCTTGGCGACAGGCCATACTTGGGACAGGACAGACCGTGTTTGTGGTTGGAGTGGGAGTGAAGGGCTTTTACATGCTGTACAAACCGCTGGCTGCATACTGGCGTTGAACAGCCAAGGTTTGCAGTGCAGAGTGAAGTGAAGTGACCCATTCCTCCTCTTGTGTATTATGTTATGGCTGCTGGATTGGAGGTAGTGCACCAAGTATAGGAATGAGCCACACACAAACTACCTATGATTCATTGGGGTAGCCAACTTGGCTCAGGTGGACAGTTATTTGACCTGTGGAATCAGGACTTGTACAACATATTGATTCCTGTCACATAGGCCTTGCAGGCTTTCATCAAGTGAATAAATGCTCACTTATTATATCATGATATAATAAGTGAGCGTCATGGTGTAATAAGTGTAGTAATGCTGAATGCCTTTACTCTCTTACCATTTCATCAAGGGTGGGTTCAAGTTGGTGATGAAAAGAAAATGTGCCCTGAAAATTAACAGGGAGTTAATGTCTGCCCTCCAAATTTGTACAAAGCTTATGTGGATAAGTGACCAAAACAGTCACTAGAAGGCTTTAGAGATACCTTTGTATAATTATTAAATGAAATGAAAGGGTAGTATGCATTTTTAAAAAGTGGACAATTTTCTATATAAAGAGGAAAATTTGGTCAGGATTTGCATAGCCATATGCAACAGTTTTCATATGCATTTGTGACAGGGGGGGGGGGGGGGAGGTTAACATTTGAGTGGCAAGATGTGGGTGTGTGCAGCTCCTGGTGGCTTTAACATGGGCACATAGGGTATGATGTTACTTAATTGGTTGTATGTAGTGTGGAAATTAAGAGACACAAATGTAGATTGTTTACCTTGATGAACTTTATCAACATTATCAAGAGACAAGAGCTTGATCATGAAAGTAGAAAATATCAGTGAATGCAGGGCTTTGTGTACTAAGGCATAAGACAGTTAAATGCAGTGCTAAATTCATATTAAAGCTGTGCCTGTTATGACTGGTTAAAGATCAAATCAGTTCATACCTTTCTGCGTGTTTGATTGCATGAGCTCCTGTGGATGGACTTTTAAGTGGACACTGTGTTAAATACTGACATACATTTTGACCCAATCAAACTGACATAATCAGTTTGCTTTTTTCAAAGATCTAGGTCTAGACACTGCCAAGCTCAGTACCTGGAGGTCAGGGCCTAGCAATGTCCCATTTCCCAAGAGTTCATGCTCATGCTGCAGTATGAAGTATCGATCATTGTCATCGCATTAAATTAATATGCCAAGCATTAACCTGTTGTACTCCATATCTGCTTATCACACAAGACCCAAGTAACATGACTTTGCCAACCAAAGCATTGAGATCACGCCTCAACTGTACTGGACCGCTACAGCATCGTCCCCTTGCATCATTCTGTGATTTCTCATTCTGATTTTGAAGTTGATGTTGGTCTGTATGACATATGGCAATTTGGAGCCCTTGCATTTGGTGTGCTTTTGGAAAAGCAGTTGCATGGGAAAGATAGTGATATTTGCTGTTTACAAGCAGCTCCCACCAGCTTTGCTGCACCAAGGGTCATCGATGCTGGCAGTGATGCCACCTGTGATGTCATGTTTACTTGTGTTGCGATAATTTGAAGCCAATCCCATGTAGCGCAGTTGTGTAAGTTGTTAAACACTTGTGAATCACACGGACACATTGATCATACAGCACTGTTCCAGCACTGTTCTTCGCACTCAGGGCATCTAAAAGATCTCATCTAGTTGTAGTCCCTGCTCGCTTTATTGCTCACATAGCTAACACCCTTGGCTCTTTGCTGTACGGACGGCGGAGCTACAAGGACACCAAAGACGTCTGTATAGCATTAACCCCAGCCGCATTTCATAGCTCTGCTTCTCAATAGTGTTTAGCCGTCTTTTTTCTTACATTCCAGCGCATGCATCGACTGGTATTGTCCGGCGTGTGTGATGCTGCCGCATCGTTTCTCTAGCTTGGTGATATGTTTTTAACGATTTGGCCTTTGCGCAACGCGTTTCCCTTACATATAAGAACGAATGTCACCTTTTCAAATATAAAATACGTTCCCTCGCGTGTCCGCTGTGGTCGGCGGCGGTATCGGCCGGGCCTGAATTTACGTCTTAGATCATAACGACGATGAAATTCGTACGCTCAAAGGTCACGGTAATCTGCGCAGTCGTCTTTGCTGTGCATTGCCGTCTCACTAGCTCCGATGGCTACTGTGCGTGCTACCACACATGGTGGGGTGGGGTCGAGTCAGTTTAGGCACTCGCTAATTAGTCCTTCACAGATATGGTTTTGGGCCGGTGGCGACGGCCGCTCTTGAGGTCAAGCGACGTCAGAGGGCAGGACGGGTCGTGTCAACCAAAACAGAACGTTAACCTTTCAACTCCATATTCTGCTTTTGATCTGGAACTGAGCGATCGGATGGAAGGGATCAGGACTCACACAGCAAGCGCTGTTTAGGGTGAGCGCCGGTTCCAGAAATCCCTTCATTTTGTCTAAGGTTTGGATTATATATTTTTTAACGCGGGCCGACAGACAGCCAAACGTTCTCTTTGATACATGTTCAAACGTACGAGTACGTATGATGCGACAGACGATACATGGCATACGGCACATGTTGCTCTTCCAAGCGAGGCAACGACTCATTTAATGCATCCACTGGGCAACCTTTATGTTGTGTGCAGACGAAGCTTTTGCTTCAAAAACTTATACCCGTCATTATCTCTTCTGCAAAAACCGAAGTAGCTATTGCTTATGCACGGTATTACATCTGCCGCAACGACTTAACCGGACATTAGTATTGAAACAGAGACTTGTGGTGGAGACTCTTGTAGAAGTATTGTCTAGTATAGGTTTTTGCAGCATAAGCTGCGCATTGTAGCACCGATATCCCGCATGAGCTTTTGGAGCAGAAGTAATGCTGCGCAGAAGTGGAGACCGGATAAGTTGTTGCACCGGGTGTTATGATGCGAATAAGTTTCTGGGGCATAAATTGTGTTGTGTAGCACTGGTGTGGCTGATAACTTGTTTACAGCAGAAGCATCGTCACATATAAGTAAAGTCTGTATAAGATTTTGCAATGGAAGTAATGTCGCGCATGACGGATGCTGTAGTTCGCCTGTCCGTAGGAGTTTTTGCCTTGGCACAAATGTCGTGACACCTCGTGAGTGGTAGCATCTCGTGATGCAGCGTCGTGAGCGGTGTCATTACAGGGATCATATGATGTCATCGGAGCGAATGAATTAAATGAAATGAATAAATGAAAAGAATAACAAGGCATCAAGATTTTAGTTGCCTGCAACTTAATTTTTCGCGGCTTCCCAGTAGAATCAGCCTACTTTGCTCATGTGTCGTCATAAACCAGATGCAGCGGCTCTCAAAATGTTGCGGATGAATCGAAACCTTCAAACATCTTTTTCGCCTTGCAACGCCACATGGGCCATGATAAAATTTTCTCCGGAGCTGGAGAGTAGGTCCCAGGTGTTGCCGAAGTAGGTGGCCGCCATCGCTGCCCCTCACCGGTTCCCGTTCACCCGTCGTAAAGCGAATTCCGTAGCCTTTTGTAGACAGTATCAGTCGAGGCGACATGCCTAGTGCGTATATGGTCAACTCTGCATTAATTGAGTGATGCCCCTCCCGGAAGTGTAGCCGTTAGCATGCCAGTCTCATGTCACGATGGACCATAGCTGCAGTCGTTTCAATTAACATCACCGCAGGAGGCTGATTCCTGTCCGATGTGTTGAATTTTCTGGTAGGGCTGGGAAAACCGCGCTGTCTGCCGCTGTAATACTTTGTGTGCCGGTTTTAAATTCCCGGTACTATTAGGTGACAGACAGAGACAAACTCATAACAGTATGGCACACTTCGGTGGCTGGCTCGGTGCCAGACAGCGAACTGTGCTCGGCCAGCAGGGTACGACAAATGCCACATAAATAAGAGCATAACCAAAGAATATCAGTGCCGTGAGGAACTTCCGATGCTGGATGTGCCAAAAATGGCATCGTTTTCGTGTTGTTCTAGAGGGCAAGATGTGCAAGCTGTGAGCATAAAAATATGGGATGTGCAATCGTCCGGTTTTGTTCGTCTCGTGAAATATTCGCATTCGTATTTTATCGTCGTCATGAAAGGTCGTTTTCGAGCTGCAAGTGGTTTGATAAGGTTGGAGGCGCTTGTTGGAGCACCCTGTGCGCCGTTGCTTACTGTCAACTGCTGTTTCAGGCAAGACAACGAAAACATGATGGAGATTGCTGAGAATACTGGCGCACAAACACCAATAAAGCCACAGCAGTAAGTTCACGATACGATGTATTGTCCTGTTTTGGAAACCGTCATATGCGTGCATGAGCCGTAATTGTCCCCTGCAATTTTGACCTAGTCATCATAACGGCCTCTTCATACCTCTGTTGGATCAGATGATAGCATAAGAAGTGTCTGTTATCCACGCTGCTGTTATTTTGGCTGCGTATAATATATATATATATATATATATATATATATATATATATATATATATTCGAGTGCTTAAGCAGTATGCTTTCATCACTGTCAGGTTTGCTATATGCAAGGCCAAATGTACATTAAGTCAGGTTCTTGCGCGTTTGCTCGATTGTTCGAATAAAATCGTTCGTTGTTTTTGGTAAGTCACAACTCAATTCGCCTATAATTGTTTATATTAGTATTAGTTTAAGCTAGCTGACATTTCTTGAACACTCGCTCCTCATTCACAAAGCAATGTTAGACGGCCGGACGGAAAACATTCAAATTTGGTGAAATACGAGACGTGAGGCATACCCTTTGGTGAACCACCAGTTAACAGATTATGCAACAGAACATCCTGCCAAATTACAAAACCCATTCAAACACACGCACATCACTTTTCCAGCCAGTTTGATACAATGGAAAGTTAAAGGTATCGAATCACCCCGCTGTCATTGGGTGACTGAACAGGTTTAGAGTGATGCATGACCTAGGCTGCTTGTTTAAGTGAAACATTCTTTCTTTGATGAGGATGACTTCGAGAACTTGTAAAGGGCGTCTGTTTGGACATAACTTTAGAGTCAGTGTGTCTTCAGCCAGGTCGGAACGTAGGAGTTTTTATTGTGGGTCCTGCGCGTATGTTGGTCTAGCGCTCCCCCCTGCAGGTACGTTGCATGCGTCGTGATAGAGCTGTCGTAGTCATTCCAATAAAGGTGGAGTTGCGGAGCCGGTAGTGTCCGTACGGGTGTTTTAATTCTATAAATTATATCTAAATCGATAAATCTCTTAAATTATAAAATTATATATAAAAGGCCGCGAGGGGTTATTGCGCGAACACACTGGTAACAGTTCACACTTGTGCTGACAGTCGCTTTGGTAGTTAAACCGATGCCAAAAAATGATCTAAAACATTCCGATCCATACTGCGGTATGCAGCCAAACCTGGAGAGTCCGGTCGGGCCCCGTCCCTGCTGTGTCACGCTGTGCGTGTGCGGTATGGTATGCCTTTGCGTGTTGCGCGCCTCGGCGTCTGCTGTCCGGTTCATGTTGGCCCGTGTGGCGGGCCGTCTGCTGCCCGGTCCGTGTGGGCCCGTCTGACCGGGCTGTCTGCTGCCCAGTCTGTCTGACCCGCTCGGCCCGTCTGACCGGGTCGTCTGCTGCTCGGTCCGTGTGGGCCCATCTGATCCGGTGTCTGCTGCCCAGTCTATCTGACCCCTCGGCCCGTCTGACCGGGTCGTCTGCTGCCCGGTCCGTGTGGGCCGTCTGGTCCGGTGTCTGCCCGGTTCGTGCGGGCCCGTCTGACCGGGCTGTCTGCTGCCCAGTCTGTCTGACCCGCTCGGCCCGTCTGACCGGGTCGTCTGCTGCCCGGTCGGTGTGGGCCGTCTGGTCCGGTGTCTGCTGCCCGGTTCGTGTGGGCCCGTCTGACCGGGCTGTCTGCTGCCCAGTCTGTCTGACCCGCTCGGCCCGTCTGACCGGGTCGTCTGCTGCTCGGTCCGTGTGGGCCCGTCTGACCGAGGCGTTTGCTGCCGCAGGCCTCAGCAGGGTGTGCCGACCCCGTCGGAACACCAAACCGAGCTGGACGAGGATGCGACCGAGTCGGCCGCCGCCAACTACTACCAGTCCGACTTCAGGCAGGCGTTCGGCGGCGGCGGCGGCGGCGTGCTAGACGGCTACGGCCCGCCGTCCGGCTACGGCGGGTCGGCCGGGCCGTACCGGCCGGCGGAGCGGGCGCTGCACGAGGATCCGTACAGCTTCACGGACGACTTCAGCGAGCCGGCGGGCAAGCCTCCTGGGCAGCCGCCGCCGCCGCCGCGCAGCCGTCGTCGTCGCCGCTGCTGCCCTTCCATTTCCCTAAAAAACGCGGCCGCAAGCCGAAAAAGCTGCTGGAGGCCATGTAAGCGGAGCCGTGCGGCGTCGATCAATAACGGCCGACGCCAGGCGTGAGAGTGCGCGCCGCCTCCGGCGAGCAGAGTGGTCCGGCTCTCTCACGCCCCCCCGTCATCTCCCCAGGCCCCGCCCCCGCCTCGCCTCGCCATCTCTCCACGCCCCGCCCCCACCCGTGCCCCCTGCTCCTGACATCTCCCCCACTTTGCTGCCCCGTCATCTCCCCCGGGACCCTGCCCCCGTCATCTCCCCCACCCCCCCCGTTTATACCCCCTCCTACCCCCGCCCCCGCCCCGCCCCGCGCCCCCCCGCCCCCGCTCCCCGCCCCGCCCCCGCCCATGTCATCTCTCCGCGCCACCGCCCCGTCATCGCTACACTCTCCCGCCCCCGTCATCTCTCCATTCCACCGCGCCCGCCGGCTCCTGAGAATACGCGGGTGAAGCCGCTAGAGCGGCGCCTGTCGGGGTCGAAATTTGCTTCATCGGGAGACGACGCCAAAGTCGCGGCTCCTCTATTGTGTCCCTAAATCCCATTTATATCGTATATGCCAGAACTGTCACGTCCTTGCGTCAGAACTGTCCGTCCATGTGCCAGAATTGTTATGTCTTG